ATATAGTAAATCCTATTTTACAGGTCGGTTACTAATATCACAGTTAATCATACTTTAACATAATCAACAAGAAAACATAAGCAATAATTAGCATTTTATCATACTTCAACATAATCATAGTTAGCAAATAAAATGATTAAGCAATTTGACGGTTAATCATATTGTTGCACTTTAAGTCTTCACAATTAGCAAGCCAACACATACATGGTTTCAATGGAAGTAATCGCAGTCACAATTTTATTCAATGGAATGGCACAAAAGTTTTGGTTTCGGCTAAGAAAAACAATTTTATTCAATGAAACTACACACACACACACACAAAAAAAAAACATTTTTTCTATGCAAAATAGCCCAAAATGGAATTTATTCAAATAGCGTTGACCATAATCGCGATAAATCGTGGCGCTAATAGCACCACCGGTATTTTGAAAATTATGGTTCTTTACCTTCGCTAACCTCTATAGCATCGTTATAGCACCGCTATAGCACGGCATATGTTCTAAAAATAAGTTTCGTTAGAGTGGTTCAAATAGTAACTCCTAGGGCTGTAAACGAACCGAACGAACACGAACGGAGGCTTATTCATGTTTGTTCATTTAAGTTAGCCGAACAAATGAACGAATACGAACAGATAAACGAACGAGTTTTCTTGTTCATGTTCGTTCGTTTAACAAATTACATTGTTCATGTTCGTTCGTTTATGTTCGTGAACAAGTTAAACGAACATAAACGAACGAACGTAAACGAACAAAGTTAAAAAAACATAATTCAACATATATGAACATAAATAAACATATAATATATTGTAATGTAATCAAACACGATTAAGCATATATGAATATAAAAGGAACTTATATCAACAAACATAAACGAACAAAAATGAATAACATAAGCGAACGTTCATGAACATAATTGAACGAACGAGACCAGTGTTCATGTTCGCTCGTTTAACTAAACGAACGAGAATTTATGTTCGTGTTCGTTTATTTATTAAATAAACGAACATAAACGAACTTCCCGCCGAACGGTTCGTGAACTGTTCGCTGAACGTTCAGTTCGTTTACAGCCCTAGTAACTCTAATACGAACCATCCATTTCATGGTTATTAAACTGTGAATACAGGTTAAATTTGTTAAAAACTTGTGTTTTTGTCTTTTTTGATAAGAAATGGTAAAATCGTCATTTTCACAATCTAATGTATATCTATTCATACATTCATTCATAGTTTAACACATCCATTATACACAACTGCATATACTCATTATACATTAATTCACGGCTTAACATAATTCAAAACTTGAACTATACCACCACCACTCATAACCACCATATACCACCAACCACCAACCACCGCCATCACTAGCCATCAGTGTATTGTTGTCGACATCATTACCTCTTACCACCATCAAATTCACCATTATCACCACCATTGTTACCTACTACCGCCACTACCATTCCTACCTCTTACCACTATCATATATGGACCTCATACACTCTAAGGGTGCACGGAGTATTGTTATTTTTTTGGTTTTGGGTTGGGGGTACCGTGGTACCTCCAAGATGATGGCCCCTTCTAAAGTGGTACTGCCAATTTGCTTGTTTCAACGGATTGCGCTCTCTCTCTCTCATGCATTAGTTAGTTGTATCTCGTGTTTTAAAACTTGTACCAAATTATGTTTGTATGTTTTTAATTAGTTTTATATGTTTTTAATATTTTTGTTAATTAACTTTGAATGATTTTAATTAGTATGAAGTTATTTTAAAATTAAAAATTAAACGGGTTGAAAAAGATGGATTTCCATTGTTTTGGATTGGGAAATATAGAAAAGAGGGGGTAAAATTAATATGGCATTTGGTTGAGTAGGTTGGAAAAAAATGGTTGAGTAGGTTGGAAAAAAATGACTCCCTCCATCCTAATAATCTCCAAAAAATCAGATTTGATAAAAAAAACAGAATTTACAACTTAATACAACATTTGAGACATTCATTCACAACTCAAAATTTACATATCACAATGAGGCATTTCATCGCATCTTGTCTCCATACCAGATCAGTTAGATAGAGATACTCGAGTGGTGTTGGTGGTTGACGGCAATAGCGATGGCTACAGTTTTGAGATAATCCAGCGAGTTAGAACTAGATCTAACATGTTCAGGTGGTTTAAAGAGAAAAACAAAAACTCAAACAATGGTTTAGATCCAAATCCAGATCAGATGGGGCATTGGATGTTAGACACAGTTGTGAAACGGTTCTGGTCCGTCCGAGGTTGGTGGTGGCAACAATATTTATTTGGTTTTTGTCATTGAAAATGTGTACGTGTCTCAAAACATTGTACTTGCGTTGATTTTAGTCAGATTTGAGTTTGGTAAAACTTGATTAATCCCAAGCATCTAATGTGTGAAAAATTATGCATTCTCTTCTCAGTGCTATAGCAGAATTTGCCCCCCACCCCCCATTCAAAGCCTCTTTGGAGCGAATTCTTTTTAAGTAGAGTTAGTGCTCTAATTGATTGAGTACACACCATTCCACATTAGAAGTCTTGCTATAATATATTTATTTCAGTTAACGAAAGTAATATGTTGATTCAAACTCTAGGGAAAGAGAAGAAAAGCTAGAATATATATGATTTAACCATCTAAAACAAGTGAAAAATATCAGCCAACATATCTGGAAAGTTGTACAAGCATATATATTATATCTAGTTAATCCTCAGTGTTTTCAGCATTAGCTCCCTTGAGATGTAAATGTTTTTCCCTTTTTTGGAAATCCGTCAGACCTTTCCCACTTCCAGTCACACCCACCTTCCCGAAAGGGTCATCAGGAGATTTAAATATGCTTTCCTTCTTGCGCCCCGAAAAGAACCCAATCTGTCAACACTTATTAATTATTATCATTACATATTATATATAAAAAAAAAAATCCATTATACCTTCTTAGCACGACCTTTGGTGGTTTGAAATTGTTGCCATGCATTTTGTCTCTTATTTTGTGTAACCTCAATTTGTTCCTTTCTCATCTTTGACTTGAAAGCATGTATCTTCTTCCGCTTAGCAGCTTTCTGCACATTAATCACAAATCATTATTTATTTGTTTATTAATTATTAAATAATTAAAGAACGTAAGACGCTATAAAAAAAAAAAAAAAAAGTAGGTTGGTTGTTATTTTGTACCACATCCTCGGGATCTTCAGGTTCAATACGAAGCTTTGCGGGTAAGCTTTTTGACTGAAAGTCCACGTCAGCAGTAGCTGCTTGGGCAATCTTACGTTTAAGAGCTAGCTTAGTGGCTTCTGCTTCCTTTTCAGCTTCCAGAAGGGGATCAACAATACCTTCTTCTATAGCCCTAACATTAGCAGGATCAACCTGAACATATATATATTTCGATAAATATTTCTTTATTATCACTTTTTTTTTTCTTTCCATTTCCCAGAAAAGTAAAAACAGAAGAAGATGATTGATACCTCTTCCTTATTTCCCCACCCACTGTAAGCAACCAAATATCCATTTGGTGTAAGAGCCTCAATTGTTGCATCATACCTGCATATTCAACTGAATCAAACATAGATAAGACAGAAAAAATAAATAAATAAACAAATAGATTTTTATGTTCAAATAGGAAAAACATCTCTTCTTTGTGAAAAAAACTGTTTGGTTTTTAAAAGCCAAAAGACATACCATTCGCCATCTTCACTATAAACAGCTTGAACTTGAGCACCAATAGGAAGCTTGTGACCATCATACATTCCACTTGAGACCTGAATGGAAATAAGAAATAAAATGTGATCAACATACACACATAGCATAGCAGATTTATATACTTTTTCTTATTAAGACGTTTTTTTTTTCTGAAAAATCTACCCAACTATAGCATTGTACTTCCAACTCATAATATGAAGTTAATTAAAAAAGGGTTTAAAAATTATAATAGAGAACATAACAATTGAGTGAAGAAACTTACAGCATCATTCTGAAAGGTACCTCCAGAATGGTGAAAACCAGGGGATAAATCAGCACTTGTCCCAATGCCCACTCCAGAATTCCCAGCTTCTTCATGTGCAGTTGCTAAAAGTTCTTCGGTCAAAGCAATCACCTGCAGCAAAAAAAAAAAAGTCAAACCTTACACACTTTGTAGTTTTTGTTTCCACATCAGTAAGATAAAAATGGTGTTGTTTCAAACTCATAATCTTAGTGAACATCGGAAATCAGGTGACAGGGGTAGAAGTAGATTGGCCATCACAACACATAGCAGACACCTGCACAGAAATCAAGATACAAGTGATGGACATCTTTGATGGAGTTTCCAAATCCAAAAAATTTTCTATTCACCTTCTAAAGCCAGGATCATCAGGGCTCTTGTCACTTAAATACATACTACACTTCAATAACATAATTTTAAAGATACTAGAATTAGTTTTAAATTGGTTTATTGTGTCGAAACATTGCTACATACAGCAAGATGAACATCATTGTTTTTTGGTCTGTTTAGTGTGCTCAAACACTTTTCTTCTTGGTGCTTAAATTACTAATACTTGTTTATGAAGAAAACAGATACAGATGTAAAGGAAAGTTAAATGCCAAGTCAAAGCAACAAACAATTCAAATTGGAGAAAAAGTAAAATGTGACAAATTTATGTTAGATCACCTCCACAAGCTCTTTCTCCACATCAGCATACTCGGAATTTCCAGGGTCATCCTTCAAAAGCTTCCTGACCTGATTGTTAACAAGGAGTTCTTGCAAGTTAGTACACAGTGTATGACATTTATACAGAGTAAAATGAAAAATGATGTTTGTTTTCTTGAGGAAGAAACTAAAAACAAAGAAAATACATATAGCTTCTGCTAGAATTGAGCTTGGAACAACAATCTCTAGGTTTCAGATAGTTAATAAGATACCAGTTGGATGAAAAGTGGATTGAGAAAAACATACTTCCAACCAAATTGAAGGGAAAAATCCTATCAAATAACATTAACTACAAGCCTAATATGGAATTATGGATCAAGATCAACCACCCCTTTTTCAGCTGGAGAGAACTAGGCTATGTGTTTCTAAAGAAACCCACAGAAAATGCAGCCTGAACATTTTGAATAACTGAAAATCTATCTACTTGCATCATGTATCAGAGCAAAGTAATGTCTAATAAGATCACTGGAGCATGTTGAGCAGTTGAGGCCTCAATTGACATAATTACTCATCCAAAAGCTTAGATTGATACATTTCCTAGATTATTAGGTTACACAGACAACATGGCCATTCAATTGTATCGATTATCTAAAGATAGTTTACCCATGTCCGTTGTTGACACTTATCAACAAGTATCTATGTATGTTCATCAATAATATGGAGATAGGCTTGCACTTTCAACAAACACGCAGTGTGGATGACAAGATATCAGAAAGATTCCACCTCACTCGTAAGCATGACAAAAAATCAACCCTACATCATAGATTCGACAACAAAAAACATACCACAAGGGGCAACAAAAATTAGGATTCAAACAAAACTCTAAATCCTATTCTCTAATCAAGTTCATTCAACTGTTAATGTAGCAACTCCCAAAAGGCAAGACAAAAAATCTAATTATATATAAATAAATAAATAAAAGGACTAATTCCAGCGAAAATGAATGATCATTATATGCACATAAGCCAAATTGCAAGTACCTCTTGAAGCTGTTGTCTGTAAGTATAGAGATTTGAAGAGAGCTCCTCTATGCTGACCTCCTCGCCCCCTCCCTCCATGCTTCTCTCCTTTGTGTTTTTATTTCTTTCGTTCTTTTTCGGTTGAATTCCTTTGGTTTAGTGCATTCAAATACGCAAGAATAGTAAGAATTCGATCAGTACTATGATTTAAGATGCTCGTAGGATAAAACCCTAACAATATTTATCGAGGAGAACAAGAATATGGCGAACGGGAACCCTAATTGAGATTTCAGTGATCTTTATTCTGACAAACTTCGATTGGCTAAATGGTAGAAATACACATATGGCCCCTAGACAAACTACTATTTTCTCATGTGCCCTTAAAGAAACATTTGTCTCAATTGCCCCTACTCCAAACATTTGGTATCAAAAAAACTACGATGTTAGTATCTCCACCAATGGTGAAACAATTTGTTACTTATAATATGCAAAATGATACGACCATAACCATTATCATTTATAAAATATTTTGAGCAAATGATTAACGGTTATAGTCGGATATGTAACGTCCTAAAATTCAAGACCAAAAATTTCATTTTCCATAGTAATAAAACAATCAACCAAACATGTTCATAAAACATAAAGGAAAATCAAAGTAAGTCGGTCAATCATCTCAATACATCAGAGTCATATAAAGCGGAAATCATGGTGTGTGTGCAATGTGATCACCCCGAGCTCTTCTCTTTTGATCCGGAAGTACCTGAAACATAAACTGAAAACCGTAAGCACGAAGTTTAGTGAGTTCCCCAAAAATACATCATACAATACATATCAAACATACAATGGGCCAAGCCCCACAACCATCGGGCCCCGCCCGGAACAGATATGTCAGTAATATGTGATGTGCCCCGTCCAACACACTTATCAGGCCCCGCCCGATATACATATAACACATACGAGACATGCAAGAGTCACAAAGACAATTAGCATACTATAACATAACCCACTGGGCCGGCATTGGTGCCTTCGACCCGCAAGTACAGTGACAGCTATCATGCTATAACACACTCATCAGGCTCCACCTGGCATCGGGCCCCGCCTGATACACATATAACACATGCAAGGTCACACAGACAGCTAACAAACCAACAACCACAAATCTTGGGTCGGCATTGGTGCCTTCGCCCCGCTAAACATTGGGAGGAGACTCACCTCAAACTGCTGAAAAAACCAGATAAATGCTCGGACTGCTTATCTGGGAAACCTCCGCACTAAATATCATCAAATAATACCCTAATTAATAATCAGGTCATAAACCATAATCGGGCCCCGCCCAATGACACCCAAAAGCCCAATATGACCCAATTTCCTAAATGATGCCCAAATCCCATCATGGGCCCAAATCCAAGAAGGCATGTAACGTCTCAAAATTCACAACAAATTTAAACTTTTCAAAAACAACTCATTTACTTAAACAGTGTTTACATAACAATTGTTTGCAAAACATTATTCAAAATCATAGCCTCCCAAAATCCAATCAACATGAAACCAAGGATGTGTATGGTCATGCCTTCGCCTTGTCAAGGTCCTCATAAGTACCTGAAACAAAACTAAAACTGTAAGCCAACGATTAGTGAGTTCCCCCAAAGTACCACCACATAAACATGACAAATAACAACATGCATGCAGAGCCTTCAGCATGACTGGACTGCCTCACCGGGCCTTCAGCCTATCTGGACAACTCTCTAGGCCTTCGGCCTGACTAGACGCCTCGCAGGCCTTCAGTCTATCCGGACCGCCCTGGGTGTCTTGGCCTTCAGTCTCAGTTGGTCCTCAACCCAGTAAACCATCACATATCATATATACACCATAACAATCAATAGCTAGCATATACAGGTAGTCATGCAGATCTAACAGATCACTACATCATAGCAACATACGGTAAACCAGGATATCAATCCAATGGGTCGGCCTTGGGGCCTTTGAACCGTAAGTATAGTGAGGAAAACTCACCTCTCAGTTGGAATGCAAATTGAATAAAACTCTCCTCTGAAATTGCTCAACAATCACCTAACCAAAACCAAGGACCTAATCTTAATTAATAGTTCAAATACCCAAATTACCCTTAGGTCAAACTGGTCAAAATCAACAAGTCAACCCCGCCGAATCAACTCAGGCCTCGTACGCGGGGCGTACTTCGGATGTACGTGGGCGTACTTCGGATGTATGCGGGGCATACTCAAGCCTTGACCGATATCGGGTTGTTGACCTCGTATGCGCGACGTACGCAGAGGTACGCACGGTGTACGCATTGAGGTCTCATTTTCCATATTAAGAGCTTAATGTGTTAAGCTCTTACGTTCCAATTACAGATCCAAGGCCAAAATACCACTAAAAGTCATAAAGTTTCCAACTTTATGACTTTGCATGTCTATTAAGTGCTTAATACCAACAAAATTAACCTCTTAACACCTAAAGACCTTCTAAAGCATGCATGGGGGAAAACTAAGCATCAAGATCTCATTTTTATGACTTATGATAAGGCTAAAATCCTTATAGATCGAATAGATTCTGAACAAGTATAATATGAACACGAAGTGAAGTAAGAACACAGAATGAATCAACAAAGTGTCGAATGATTAAAAGTCACGCCTCGGATGAACTCGATGAAGAATTTCAACTATAGAGGCGTGCTAGGGTTTACAAGAATATCTATATCAAAACGTTAATGATCTACGGTGTATGCATGCACTATTAATACTTAAACCCTAATAAATGATACGGCTTGGACAGACCCAATACCGAATACAAAAACTAACTAATAAGCCCAATGACGCAACACTAAATACCCAACAATCTCCCCCTTTGCGTCAATTGAGGCCCGAACCCTTCAGCCTTGGATTCGCTTTTGCACATCATACACCTTCGGAATCATAGCATAAATTGCTTGGCATACCTCGATGTACCATAAAACCATATCTGAGAAGCACTTGATATCATCTTTCTTGTTGCCTTTAAACTTGCTCACCTGGTCCATAATGTACTCAAGGAAGTTTGTGATATAGAGATGCTTATCAGAAAGATAAAAGCATCCTTTGCGAAAGTATGATCCGGTTCGTTCCCTAGCAGAATAAACCACAAACCAATCTCCATTGTAAAGTTTCCCTGGCTTCAATTTTTCAAAATCCTTAGGAGTTTCTTTAAGTACAGCAGAAGGCTTCTTTCGTAGGACAGCAGCAACTTCAACATCCATCTCTCCAATCTCCTGAATATATGACTTTATCATGTGCTTGAGATGAGACATGGCAGGTTCATATTTCTCTTTGTCCTTCAGCAATATGTTGTAAAGAACAAACCAGTCATATGGGTTAAGTCATGGAAGATCTGCGAGAGTAAACTCGTAGCATTGGCTGGCTGAACCTCGTGCCACTTTAAACTTTGCATTTGGAAATCTATCAGTTTCGATCGGCCCTGTAACCTTCACACCAGTAATTTTGCTCAATGACCAGGTTTCGTATTGTAGCTTCATATGCTTCAGATAAAACGAAAACAACATATGATCAGCTCCGTTGTCTGTGAACGGAGCGTTGGCCACTTTAACAAAAGAACGAAATCTGAATGCTTTTGGAGTAATTGGCAGATCCAGTTGCGAGTCTCGTGTGTTCTGGAGATCAAACGAAACTACTGGTTCTAACCAATACTGGCTTGGAAGATCAACAACATCCCGCTAGATTCGCTTCAGGGTCCAATTGGGGAACAAGAGCTTTTTGCTCTGAAGAGTAGCATGTGCTTATTTCTCAGCCCTTTCTTTTTCTTCAGCTTCTCGGATGATTCGTTGGTGCTCATCCAGTTCAGCTTCACGAACTTTTCGTCTTTTCATTTCTTCTTCAGTAGGCTCCTCTTCGTCTTCATTATCAATTATTGGGTCGTCACGGAACAGCTTTTCCTTGCCTTTGAGTTCGTTCTTGACAATAGGCTTGACAGGAGCTTTAGGTTCTTTTGTTAATCAACCAGCCACACTTTCTCCCCCTTGTTTCGGATTAAAGGATTGATCAGAAACACCTTCAAGTCGGTGAAGCATGGCGAAGACTGGCCTTAACTTTTCTGCCAGATGCTTACGCATGGTGATGGTTGTTGGGTTTCAAGCAAT